CCTCCCGCCCCGCCCTCAGGACACGTTCTACATCGAGCACGAGGAGGGGGAGGAGCCCTTGCTCTTGCGCACTCACACGTCGTCGGTGCAGATCCGGGCCCTGGAGAGGCTGAAGCCGCCGCTCGCCATCGTGGCGCCCGGCCGGGTGTTCCGCCGAGACACGCCGGACGCCACCCACAACCCCGAGTTTCACCAGGTGTGTGTGTGTGTGTGTGTGTGTTTTTTTTTTTTGCTGGTATTGTTGTTTTCGTTGATGTCTTCGCAATCTTTATTATCAGTTCGGCCTGTCTATGCATCCAGCTTTCGTTGTTGTTGCTGTTGTTGCTGTTTTGTTTTTTGTGGTTGTTTTTGGTGTACTGATTTTTGTCGTCATCTATTTGATGAGTTCGAACCCTCTCGATGTATTCAGTACCATCTCGTGTTCTCTGCCCTTCAAAGACGAGAAGGAATCTAGGTGCTTCTCCTGGATACAAGAAAATCCATAGAGGTGCACACACGAAAAAATAAAAAGTAATGGGCACAAGGGTATTCCTACACTGACGAGCAAGTGAAGCTCATAGGTGGAAGGGCCTGCACCGTTTTTATTCATTTTCATGACATTGATTCCACAAGGTATCACCCCCCGCCACCCCAGTTGTGGTGCCCCTTATCGCCGCGCGGTCTCTGCATGTACCATCCACCATACAAGGCGTACATGAATACACGTGGACGGTTTCGGACGGAACACCCCGCTAGAACTCTCGCAAACGATCTCCCCGTGCTGTAGAATATGCCGCGAGAGCATTTTACTGAGCATTCACAACGTGGTTGTGATATTTTTTCAGGCCGACACGAGCCCTATACGACTACTCTCAGATCAAGCAAGAGGCGACACAAAATACCCCACACGCCACCCAACAACATGCCTGGTCTTATATTATTTGAAATCAACAAGTTGATCTTTTCATTGGGGGTGTTTTTTCGTGCCGTGTATAGTTGGCGTATACAGCGTTTCTTTTTATTTCGGGAATACCGTATATGACACAAGATAACACACCCCCTTGACCGATTTTCGAAGCTCGAATTCTCAACTGCCGGAACAGTCACAGCGCCAAAAACTGCGGCGTTGAAACCGTCTCATCGAGAGCTTTTCGATAATGTATCGTTTCGTTTGTGCATCTTCTTCATCGTGGAGTAATCGAGCTTTGAAAAATCGGTCCAGGGGGTGTGTTATCTTGTGTCATATACGGTATATGCCGGACTCGCCCGACACATTTTCCATCACAAACACATATTTCATCACAAACACTGGAGACATTACGCATGCACAATGAACAATACAAACCCTCCTGTTGTACGCGTACTTGGCGCCATTTCTTTTTTGCAGCGAATTCGCGGCGGCAGCCGGCCCCTATCCATGCACTCTCTGGGAGGAGTACGATTGTATCGAGCTACACCGTGTTTCGAAAAGGGTCGATGATTTGTGGCAGTACCAACTTTCGTAATTTAAATTAGCAATGTTTTGCTCCACTTTCAGCTAAAGACCCTATGGTGTAGTCGGTAACACTGCAGACTCTGAATCTGCCACCCTGAGTTCGAGTCTCAGTAGGGTCACATTTTTTTCCGCACAGAGACGCCGACAACTTGTTTGAATTGATCCTGTCGTCGCCTGATTTTCGTGAGAATGCTGTTGCCATGATTATTAATGTGGTACCTTGTACTACTTTTTTGTTTTTGTGCAAAGGAGCAGTTTTTAGAGGACCGCCGATCAGTACCCTCGTTGAGGTGGGAATTTTCTTTTTGGTTAATAAAAAACATGTTTAGAAGAAACCATACCCCGAAAATTCTTGTGCTGGCAAAAAATAGAATCACTGCGGGCGTGCGAAACCTTTCCGTAAATGATGCGACGTGCTGGATCTTTCAGCAGCAGACTCGAGCCCATCTCACACCACATTACCAGCCAATCGTTGTGCATCGGACATTTGAGTAGAGGAACATCGTTCTCAGTTCGTTGGGGTAGCGCGTGTCTGCTTTGTTTGCTTTGTTGTCGGCATCCATCCCCACGTAAGTACATCGAGAAAGGCATATTTTTTTGAAACGAGCGTTGTAATATTGAGAGGGAGGGGAGGGATGTGTAGGAGGAGGAAGAAAGGTGGGAGAGGGAGACTGGTGTGACTTCGAAACTACTGCTGTCAGCTGACTGTGGGAGTGAGAAGAAAAGGGAGGGCGTGGACACACGCGCACCCTTGTGTGTTGCTATTGTGTGCTTACAGCTGTAGTTTCGCAGACACCAAAGTGCGTAGACGGATAGCGCATGCTGTCGATGGTAAAGAGTCAAGCATCTCTTCCCGCCCCCCTCTCAGATCGAGATTCTCAACGTCCAAAAGTCGGGGGAGCTGCACCTGGGCCACCTCAAGGGTACGGTGGACCACTTCCTCAAGAAGATGTTCGGCCCCGACGTTAAGACGAGGTACCGGGGGAGCTACTTCCCCTTCACGGAGCCCAGCATGGAGGTGGACATCTGGTTCAAGGGGAAGTGAGTGTCGTTGGTACACTTTGGGATAGCACGCCTCTCGTTTTTGTTTACGTTCCCTGTTCCCGCCCCAAGATTACAAATGGAGGAAGAAGCAAAGGTGGGTGGAGACACTGACGCGGAAGAACGGGCCCCCGTCGTATGCAGCAGGATCGACGGAAAAACAACCAGTTTCGCATCCCCCCCCCGCGCGCGCCCCTTGCAAATCAACAGGTGGATGGAAGTGTTAGGGTGCGGCATGGTGGACCCTCGCGTGCTTGAGATGGCCGGAGTTGACCCCGAGGAGTACTCGGGCTTCGCGGCCGGGTTCGGGGTGGAGCGTTTCGCCATGGTCTTGTTCGGGGTGCAGGACCTTCGCAACTTCTGGAGTAGCGACATGAGGTTCCTGGAGCAGTTCCCAGCGGACATTCAGGCAAGCGGCACATAAATTTTCGGAGCGCAACTGAAACCCCCTCGCCCCCCTTGCTCGTCGGATGGTTGCGTGCTTGATTGTTCAAGCACACGCTAGTCTCGGGGAAGTCCGGGAACCTTTGCCATACACACGAAACGCACGCTAACCCCCCGCCTCCCCTACGCGACCTGCCGCGTCTTTTGACTATCGCAGGACATGAAGGATGCCGTCAAATCCGGCAGTTTAGGTGACCCGGTTGTCTGAATATGCCGTGGCGCGCACGTTGCTGCTAGTCTAGATCTTTGAATGCGGTTCGGAGGAGATGGTTGGATCAAAGACCTCCGTACCACGGGGTTGAAGTGCTCTTGTTGTGTGTTTGGCTTGGGGTCACAAGGGGGCCACGCAGACGCATTTTTCGCAAGTCGTGCGTCCCGCGTTTTATAGCCAGGGGCTTCATGAGGGCTTGGGTTAAGCTAGCGTGCACTCTTTCGTGATCATGATCATTGTTGTTTGTGTCCTCTCCTTCGCTGACGTAAATTGACATTTTGGAGTCGCAATGAGCCACGAATGATGGGAAATTCTCTCCAAAATGCCCTGTGTATCTACCTGTGGTCGTCGCTGGGCTTGCGAGGTCCAGGACGCGGTTTACTTCTTGGTGGTTCTTCGGCGACTCTTTTTTCTTTGCCGCTCGACGGACGACCCACACAGAACGCATGCAAGGACATTCGTTCTGGTAATGTGCATTCGTTGTCGTTGTATTGCTGCCCTTACCAGTGCTCACGAAACACCAAATGTGCCCAGCAGTGCCTCTATTTTGTTTCGTGTGTGTGTCTGCGGGGTGCCCCGAACATACAGAAGAACCCATGATGACCGGGGGGACGTTCGGACTCCGGATCAGAAAATATGTTGTGCCATCGACGGCACAACTTCTCCGATTTTTTTTCCCCGCCAATGCGCAGGCTTGAACGTCACCACGGGCCTTACAACATCTAGACTATGCATTTTCCATTTTGCCGTCTTCCGACACAGAGATGATGCGGTTTGCCCTCCAATTGTCACTGCCCGAGGACGGGCTGGACGAAAGGAACTAACCCAACACATCCTGCCCTTCGAAAACCGTTCGACCGCCGCGGTACCGTCGGTATTGTTGTTGTTGTTGTTGTTGTTGTTGTTGTTGTTGTTGTTGTTTTCTTCTTCTTGTCTTCACATTAAAAACCGTTCCGGTCTCCGCTCAGTAGCTTCTAATGTCCGTACTGGTCCTACTGACTCGGACGCCTTCCCTGGTCACAAACCAACGACCCCCAATGGGGGATAAGCAAAAAATACAGAACGGGCCCACAATCAAGAAAATTCTGTTGGGAAAAATTGGTTCAACTTTTAACGAAAAACAAGAAAACAAGGCTAAGAAGCTCAGCTCAATCTCGACCACAACATAAAAAACATTCCAATAAGAAAACACATGATCGTGTGATACCCCCCAGATACAAGAAACAAGATGGGTTGCTGGGGGAGCGCGTCCAGTAAGAAGCAAACGTCCCACACTGATGATGCTGCTGCTGCCATGCTCTCGACCCCTACCTAGCTTATGTATTTCTTGGAAGAAGGGGGGGGGGGGGGGGGGGNCCCTACTAGAGACACCACCAACATTTGGGAGCTCTTTACGTTTCTGCCACAAACTACATAAAAATTTCTTGCACATCTTATCCCCGTCCTCTACGGTCTCTTGTGCCCACCATCTATCCCCAATTACAACGATCGTTTGTTCGCTGTTGTCTAATTTACCAAACTTGTCCATGTCACACCCTCTCTGTCTCATGTCCTCCTCGAGATCCTCTCTTTCCTTCCTGTACAGCTCACACTCCCCAACTATGTGGGGTCTACTCTCCTCCGATTTGCCACATGGACATGTCTGTCTATCCTCCTCTTCCTCTCTCCTACGGCTGCTGTACCTCTTCCTCCGTTCTGGCAAGTCCAGATCGCCTACTCGAAATTGCAACTTCAGTTTTTTTGCGTAGTCCATGGGGCCTTCCAAGTAACTTTTCATCCCTATCCCTTCTTTCAACTTCCCGTATATCTCCAAGTGGTCTTCGCTTCGTACCTTCTTCCGAAGGGTTGTCTCCTCCCTACTTTCAAGCATCTCCTTGACTTTCTTCTTGGACCCCCCGAACCCTTCCGTGTCCAATGTCTCCTCCTCGTTTCCTATCTCCTTCCAAACCCTCTCTACCACCTTGTCCCATCTGATTCCTTTCTTCCCTGGAGTCGCTTTTCCCCAAGCTGCCTTGTCAACCATGGCTGGTAGTCTATCGTCCGACATACTACTTACCTTGTACTGCCAATTCAACTTTTGCATGTCTCTCTTTGTTTTAAGAGAGTACATTCCCAGTTCTGCTCTCAATACAGTGTTGCTCGTTGTACTTGAACATCCTAGTATTTTCTTGGCCGCTGCCATCTGCACCGTTTCCAGCTGCTTGACGGCCTTTTCGTTACCTTCCCATACCTCTCCTGCATACTCTAGCTTAGGTACAATCACATTCAAGAGAACACACCTCTTAATCCTAGTGTCTAGGTGTGGTTCCGTAAGGATCTCGTCCATCTTGCCTATCTGAGCTTTACCCTTCCCAATCAACTTTGCTATGTGTGCGTCCCATGAGCACTCCTTCGAAATCTCTACTCCCAGGTACGTATGTATACCTGTCTACTACCGGTA